TCCACTAAGTTTCATACTTAGGAAGAAATTTCAGGTTATAATGCACTTGGCTAAATTTATTTCATACATTAGAAAAACAATTTGTAGTTTACACTCCATTTTGGAGGTACGAGGGTCGTTCGATAAGTAATGCGAAATGTCAAAAATTAAGAAGGCACAAAAAGCAGTTTCCTCATATATATCAAATCCTTCAAAGTATTCACTGTTTACCTTTAAACATGTCTCAAGTCTTTTTTCCCCTAACCGGAACACCTCAGCATACTCTTTTTTTGAAGTAATCCAAAGGCACTGATGGATAGCACTCTCACGAAAAAGATCTAAAATAGTAGCATCTTCCTTTGATAGTTTTCTTGAGTTTCTGGAATAAGAAAATGTCAAAATGACTGAGGTCTAGCAAATACGGGGATGGCTAAGCTCTGTAAACGTTCCTGTCTTCAAAATTACCTTTGCATATATATGCTTATAAGCAGCAGTCAAACTCCAAGGTCACGGTCTTCAGATAAAAAATATTGATATTCTAGGGAAGGTCTTGTCACAAGGAATACACCTGTGAAATATGAAAAGCCTAACACCAGTTTCAAAGGATATGGCCAAGGTTAAAGTTTTCATAAGTAGGTCAAGTCAAGGTCAAAGGGTCAAATTGTTCATATCCAAGGAAAGGTCTTGTCACAAGGAATCTACATGTGAAATGTGAAGGTCCTAGCACAAATTGTTCAAAAGTTATGGCCAAGGTTTAGGTTTTTCAAAAGTAAGTCAAATTCCAAGGTAAAGGTCAAAGGGGAAAAAAAATGGTACCACAGGAAAGGTCTTATCACAAGAAATAAACCTTTAACACACAATAGCCCCAACACCAACCGTTCAAAAGTTATGACCAAGGTTAAAGTTTTTTTTCCAAAGAAGGTCAAACTCCAAGGTCAAGATCAAAAGGTAAAAAAAAATATTCGGTACCCAAGGGAAGGCCTCGTCAAAAGAAATACACTTGTGGAATATGAAAGCCCTCGCACTAACCTTTCTAAAGTTATGACCAAGGTAATGTTTTTTTAAGTGGGTCAAACTCCAAGGTCAAAAATATTTGTAATCAGGGAAAGGTTTTATCACAATGAATACACAGTGAAGTAGGAAAGCCCTAGCACCAACTGTTCAAAAGTTGTGGCCAAAGTTAATGTTTGGTAAAATTTTGCAAAAGTGGGTCAAACTCCAAGATCAAGAGGTCAAATATGTTGAAACTTAAAGAAAGGTCTTGTCACAAGGAATACACATGTGAAATATGAAAGACAAAGCTCCAACAAATCAAAAGTTATGGACAAGGTTAAAGTTTCTGTGGACAAACAGCTAAACAGACAGGCAGACGGACAGAGCAAAATCTATATGCCACAGAATCTTCGATTACGGGGGCATAAAAACATGCGCTTTTCGGTGATAAGTTCTTAAGGTGAAATTATCTACTGTGAAAAGATAAAATTAACTGCTTCTGCATTTAATATGATAAACCGTATGTTGCATTACTTGTTGAACGATCCTCGTATCATGTATAAATATTATCTCTTGAATAGGTCAGCCCCGTAGCAACATTTTGTAAGGGGATGGGGTGAGGTGGGGCCTAATAAATGACAAGCAATTAAAAAGACTAAATCGTATTTATGGGGGAGGGTCAGATATTTCTCTAACTTTTCGGCAAGAATTTTTCAGAGTTCAAACATACTGCAACAAACAGTGTAAAGGAGCAACAAAGCAGCAAACGACTATTATCCAAAAAAATGGGGCGGGGCGCATCCATCAAACAAAAAATAAATAAATTAAAAAAATCTAAGAATAATGCTCACTACAGTGACACTACAATATTGACACGACATATAACTTATTCTTTAGATTTCAAAATGGGCAGTTGACCCCCAAAAGTGTTTTTGTCCTCTCTTGCTGCCATTTTTTTTTTTTTTTTTTTTTTTTTTTTGACAAATGACAATCTGCAGAATAAAATTAATTTCAAAAAAGTTAAAACATCCAAAACATTCAGACCTGACCTCCATCTTTTCCTCAGCCCCCATCCCGGCTACAACTGTAGCTACACTGGATTTAACTAAGTCTTATCATAATACATTGTATAACAGAAAAGTTTCACTTGAATATATTTAAACCTTTTTTTCCGGTTTCACATTTTCTTTGTCAAAAGCTGCGTCTTCTCCTTTAAGTAGGACAGAAAGGAGTTAAGTACTACATATTTGTCTGAATATTTTTAAGTAATTTAAAATATTTTGAAATATTTTTTTCCATAAATATTTTAACTAGTATTAATTGTAACGGGGACCGTTACAGATGTTCCCCAAACCCTCCCCAACTTCCTTTTGGTGTCTTATTCCCTGAAAGCTTCATTAAATAAGGCAATCAAGTATATTGGGTTTTTTTTACGCATTACGCGCGTGCGCACGGGCATGTATGTACAAAATGACCATGTCAACTTGTCTACACTTTTAATGCATCTTTATATTCAAATTTCATTAAAAGATAAAAAAAAATCGGCTATATTAAGTATATCTGTCATTTTACGCATTGCACGCGCGCGCGCGTGCATGCATGTCCATGATGATCGTGTCATCTTGTCAACACTATTAATATATCTACATATTTCGGGTATCAAATCATTTCATCAAAAAGTATAAAAGTTACAGCTATATCAAGTATATTGGTCATTTTAGCATTGCATGCGCGCGCACGTGCATGCATATGCATGTTGACAATGTCGTCTTGTCTACATTTATAATATGTCTATATATTCTGAGTATCAAAGCATTACATCAAAAAATGTAAAAGTTCTGGCTATATCAAGTATATTGGTCATTTTACTCATTGCACGCACGTGCATGCAAATGCATGCATGTGCATGCTGATCATGTCATCTTGTGTATACTTCTAATATATATTTATATTCTGAGTTTCAAAGCAATTCATCAAAAAATATATAAGTTAAGTCTATATCATTTGTATAGGTTATTGTAATCATTGCGCATGCGCACACGTGCATGAATGTGCATTCTGACCATGTCATCTTGTCTACACTATTAATATATTCTGATATCCTGAGTAACAAAGCATTTCATCAAAAGATATGAAAGTTATGGCTATATCAAGTATATTTGTCATTTTACTCATTGCACACGCACGCACGTGCATGCACGTGCATGCATGTGTGCGCTGATCAAGTCTTCTTGTCTACACTTCTAATATATATTTATATTCTGAGTGTCAAAGCAATTCATCAAAAAATGTACAAGTAAAATCTATATCAATTGTATTGGTTATTTCAATCAATGCGCATGCGCGCATGTGCATGCATGTTCATTCTGACCATGTCATCTTGTCTACACTATTAATATATCCTTATATTCTGAGTATCAAAGTATTTCATCAAAAGATATGAAACTTATGGCTATATCAAGTATATTGGTCATTTTACTCATTGCACGCGCACGCACGTGCATGCACGTGCGCGCAAAATGACCTTCGTTCCGCAAATCTACATAACATTCCTATTAACCCTAAAAAGGTTTCAACTCAATCGGATGTATAGTTTCGGAGATCACTCACGGACAAAAAAGTACCCAGGAAGAAAAATAATAATAATAATAATAATAATAATAAGAAACAGAGTAAAAACAATATGTTCCCAAACTTCGTTTGGGGAACATAATAACAGTTGTTGAACGCTTTATTGCAATACAGGTATATTGTGGAAAAAGAATAATTCCTGATGGAGTCAACATTTATACGGTATTTTATCCTATAACGAGATAAAAACTGTATAGGACTTAGGAAGGCGTAGCATTTCCTAAGAATTGATTAAGTTAATAGTATTTTCAGTAAGGATTCATTCATGTAATTTTTCCACAACCTTTGCATATGTATATAACTAATTTAAACTATTCCCTTACCAATGAACGATAACTCTTAGTAGAAAAATTGAAAGACAAAAATATCTTTTTTTTAAGCAATTGGTAAAAATTTCAATTTCAACTCTAAGAAAATAACATTTTTAAATGAACCCAGATTGAATTTCAATGTGCCTCATTGCATTTCCATAACATTTATCTAAACATTAGATATCATGATATACACTTTGTACATGTATATAGCCCCCCCCCCCCCCTCCACACACACACCTCCCAGTCAAAATGTTTCTTTTACTTTATATACTTCATTATTTGCTATGACAAAAATATAGAATGGATAGCCACATTTGCGGAGAAAATTAATACAGATGTTTTTGAGAGTTCTAATAATGCACATTGCAGAACCCGAGGGATTTAGGGAGAGGGGAATTATTAGAGAGCGTCATACTTCGGGTGAATAATTCATAACTTATTATCAGTATTTTCATACTCTAGACTAGATTCTTCTACCCAGAGGGGGGGGGGGGGTGAGGGGTATAAATAAAATAATACCATTGTGGCTGTGGGGTTATATTATATCATAATTAGCATAAAAACAAATGAGCGGTGATTTGAATTCATAAACAGGCCACGTTGTTCTTTGATTATATAATTATTGCTTATGGATATTACGTTAGAATTGTGTAAATAAGTAGATCATACATGTATAATATACTCATAGAGATAAACAAAATTACTGATATAATTCTATATCTAAGACAACACCCGCTTGTGATAAGATACCAATGAAAATAGAAGCCACAGTAACTATTGTCATGAAGCAAACAAACCTAAATTTAACTCTTTTTAAAATTTCTTTTTTTTTTAATCTTATTTGTTTAGTTATCAGTATATGCAAGTACAAATAAATAACATCAGGAAAAAAACCTGATACAAATATACAAAAATATACCTATAAAAAAATTACAGTAGTTTTATAAACACTTATCTTTATCTCTCTCTCTCTCTCTCCAAGTAAACATAGGCTATACCTTAAATTTACAAAAACTAACCAAACATTTATTATAGCATCTCTTCAACTTGCGCTCTTTTCGTTTGATAAAGCTAAGATTGCTCTTTCTACGAGCATTTATCAAAATATAGACACGATCCCCTCCGTTGTTAATCAATGGAGCGGAATTTAGGAATCCAGTGCATGTACACTGAAATGTTTTTTTTGGAGTGTAATTGATAAACTTTTGACTAATGCTTAGGAAAACAGCTCTTAAGACTGACAGCGTCGTTAGAGAGTGCTGGTCTGTATCGTTCTTGGGATTGGCGATATTTTGGCAAATTAGTTGGAAGGGCTTCCTTTTATCACGGTCTCAAAGCATCAGCCGCCGGTATTAGGTAATAGTCGTGTTCCTCCTCGAAACATGTAAATATCTTGCTGTGTTTGGATTATCCCCGCTCGAACATCCGGGACGTTTTGTTCACTTCATCTTTTTCTATTTCTCATTCTTTTGACGGAAGCGCTCTGCTTGTGTTTTGAACATTTAACCGCTCGAAGATCTAAACTTTTAGGAAAGCGAAATTTTCAACAATGTTTTGTTTTCACGTAGCTATTAATTTTGCTGGACTTTTGCTTGCTGTTGGTGAGTACAGTTGTGTACGTTTTATGGGTTAGATTTATAGATTTTACTTAGCGTAAATCTGTAGGTTATTAATTAATTTATTTATAATTAATTCGTTATCATAAAATTTGTTAATGACGTATTGTAGTAACAGGAAATACCAAACCGATTTTCTGTTTTATATAAAAGTAAAACAAAATACAAAGTTTTAAGTAGATTTTATACCATGCTTACCGGACGTTAAATGTGTTTTTGATGTGCTTTCCCCATACGACTGGGGGTTAATGAAGAAAGGTTTCTATTGGGTGCTCAAGACAAGCCAGATTAGAGCTATTTTATATCTTTTTAATTGGGTTCCAGCGTACTTCCTGAATTTTTAAAATTTACCAATTATCAATGAGAGTCGATGCTCACAATTACAGTTAGGCTTAGGTTTGGACGTATATTGGCCCATATCTGTTAATGGATAATCAACAAGAGATGGAGATAATCATGACCCTGATATTAAGACAATAATCCCATTATAACACCTGATTACCTCTCCTGTGATATAACAGGCTTCTCTTACACTGCACATCTACACGTGCTTCTGATCAAGAATTCGCACTTTTATATTTCGGTGTATCGACGGACGTAAACTGTGGTTCCTCTTTTATGATTCCCACAAACTCTATTGACCTCAAACAGAAAAAAGCATAACACTGACGAATTCATCACACTTTGCTTTAAAGTCTCTCTATGGGGTCTTGTAATATCGGAATTTCAGAAGACGGTGGGCTTCTCTTCAAGAGCAGATTGTATCAAAAGCTGGAATTCCTGGTAGATTAAATAACTGACTATAAGAAAATGTTGAATTTGTGACTATATATAATAAAGCAATTTTAGACGCGATTTTTGGATTTCAAATTGTACCTGAAATGCGTGTTTAATTTAAAAATAATAAAAATATTATTTTAAAAATAAAAAGGTAAATTACATTAGTGAGAGGAGAGGAACTCGCACAAAATACTCAAAAAGTTGACACGTATAAAATGAAGCCCGTCCTTGTGAGACAAACCATTCCGGGAATTACAGTTTACAAATTGCTAAATTTACCGAATTCCTCACTGATAAGATGCCATATGAAAAACTGAAGAAAAACAATAAATGTACAATTTTTATCTGATATAGAAAAACCAAGAACATCCAATTTTCTCTTTATTTTGACTGTCTTTTTTAATTTCCTAACCGACATAATTCAACACCCACGTCATAAAACGAACTACAGTCTGTAACTATTATTTTTCATTTAAAACAGAAGCCCAATTTGAAAGTTAGTATATCTCTTTTTTTAAAATCTGCAAGATGTAACAAATAATGTGGTCTCCAAGGTTACAAGAATTATGAGCATTTAAAGCGCCTTTTATGACCCATTTTATCAAATAAGAAAAATCAACAGCGAACAACATACATCTTTCTTTTTCCCGCACTAAAGGGCGTTTTCAGAATGGGTTCTCTGTTAGTCATCGCTCTATTATTCCCAGATTTGTATGTTAATAAAATTCTTTTTCTTAGATAGGGTGTATAATTAGCTATGCAACAGAAGGGGAACGATAAAGTATTAACCCTCTTGTATTAATCGGCACTAGATTAATACAGAGTTAATTACTAACAGAAAAAAATCAATGGGCTTTAACGCATGTGGCATTTACGATCATAATATCGTCTGAAGTAAAAACGGTGCACTGCAGCAAATGCAGTTTACTAATTCGATACAATGAATATATTTTTATGTCGATGTCAAAAACGATTTGTATTTTGTATGTTATGCATTGGACACGGACTGGAATTGAGAAAACGTCCTTATCGATGATTTTTAGAATAATACTTAGATGCAGGGAAAATAATTTGATCAAGGTCTTTATATGTCTGCTTATCATGTACGGTATTTTCTATCTATATTACAAATCATGTCTATAAATTGATGCCATTAACCGTCGTTGGGAGAAGCTCGACATTTTCTTGATATCATAAATAATCATTGTATTACATTTAAATGTATATATAGTTAAGCAGAAATTTGATTGAAAAAACATGTAGTGTAAGTGTTAAGGGATATGAACACAGCTTCGAAGTTATTTTGATAGAATTCCATGTCTTACATGCTGCATAAGTACAATACACGCTGCGGGAGCGTTTCATACAGATATAAAAGCGCATTTAGAAACTTCTTTTATCATAAAGTTCTCACAAATAAAATGTGATTTACAGTATTAAAAAGAAACCACTGGCATACTGTCAGTAAAATAATAAAAAAAAAATCTAACGAATTTTGATATACATCCTTGTATTTTCACAAACTAAAATTAATCTTTACTATTTAAGAAATGCGAATGTCTTACTATAATCGAGAAAGGGCAGAATATAAATGAAAGAAAGCAAATCTAACACACCAGTGTTGCCTGTTTGTGTTTATGGTTGTGTGCAGTGTTAGCAAATCGAACACACCAGTAAAACGTATTTTAAACAACAATAATAGCAGAGCTCGTGTACGAGTACGTCAGTTTTCAAACTCAGGTGTTCGAAGTAAGGTTTTAAAGAATATCGACGTGATTGAATATTAAGAATTTCCACGTAAGTTCAGATCATTAAACTGAAGTTATTTTTACAATTTAGAAATTTGAAATTGTAAAGAAAAGGGCAACACAGTTTCCATGCCTCTTATTTTAAAAGCTTTCAGATAATACCGAATGTTATAGTATGGCAGAAGACTTTTGATGCAATTTTTTTAAATGTACATTACGTAATCAGCACAGTACGTCTCAAAAGCGAAGTCTTGAAATCTTTTTTACCTTTTTAGATTAACATATCATAGACAACACAGTACTCACATATCAGAAACGTATATTTTTATTCTTGGAAAGTATCATAGTCACAGCGGAAACAGCCTTCAATTAACAATTCTCTGTACAATTATCTGTACAATTATCTGTACAATTCTCTGTACAATTATCTGTACAATTCTCTGTACAATTCTCTGTACAATTTTCCGTAAAATTCTCTGTACAAATCTCTGTACAATTATCTGTACAATTATCTGTGCAATTATCTGTACATTTCTCTGGGAATTTTACTATTTTGAATTTTGCTTTCAATCCTATGTCCACTGCAAATTAGTTTATCTTTTACTTCTACGTAATTTTTATTCAGTTGCTTAAAGAATTAACATTTTATGGTACTTGTTAACTAAAGAAATGATTTATTAATGAAAATAGATACATTTTCTTTTACAATTTGCAATTTGAAGATGGCGTTATTTTAAAACATCTTGATCAAACATTTTTTTCTTTTGCATACACTAGTAATGTTCCTTTTTATATTTTAATTGTTTAAAGATGTACATTATGGCGGATAATTAAAAAAAGACACGACTTTTACCCTCCAATTCTCACCAAATTTAAATTGTAGAACTCTTTCTTCCATTGTTTATTTAAGAAAAAAAACGTAACTTACCCCGTTACACGTGTATTTGTGGTTAGGGGAATTAAACCAAACAGGCTAGAAAGAGACAGCAGAAATTACTGTATGACATGTAACTTTCTTTAAATCCAATGTACAATGTTTAAGATAGTCTTTTTGTCCCCCCTTTTTTAAAGAATATTACGCTTTGACATGGGATAATGAACACTTACATTAGAATTCAATATATTAATGTCGACCCATCCCTTATACCAGAAGCTGAGAGATGTGAGTCTGGTATGTAGTCATTTGATCTGTTTGCATTAACTTTACAGACATAGCAAGCCCTGTGTGTTGAATTAAGATTTTACGGTTTGTTTTGGCTTTGTCTGCGGCACACGATCTTGACATATGGTTTGACTATTTAACCACCGTTTAGGTGTGAAAAGATAATCTAAACCCCATCATATGTAATAGAGATTTATGTTTTCTCTCCACACATGGTTTTGGGTGTTATGTTTTTGTCAGTATTTGTGTTAGATGGGATTTTAATATAGTAACTAGGATACACCTTTTGCGTTAAAGAGAGGAGTATGTAGGTCTTAATATAAAATTAAAAAGAAAATAAAAGATTACGAAGTTAAAGTCATTGCAAAGTCGTAACAGAACGTAATTGCCAAAATGTATTTCTATGACAACATTCTAAGAAACAAGGTATCCTTATCACTTCATATCGTTGAACAAAAAATAATCGTTTCTTGGATGGCGTTAAGAAGGTGAAAAAGTTCACAAAATCAATCAAGTTCGCTTGCCTCTTTCATCTAAGAACACACTCTACAAGAAAAGTTTGCAGCAGGTGCTTTGTGTCGGTTTCAAAGAAAGTTTAAACCTTGAAGGATTGCCATGTTATTAGCAGTGTTGATGATAAATGTTTGTTCGTAGCGATGCAGTGGGACAGATAAATTCAACATCTCTTACCAAATTCCTCTTCAAAAATCTATTTTAAGCAATTGATCTCATTTATAAAAAGTTCAAATCTGAAAATGAATATTAGCTTGCAAGGGAGCTAAACTTGATTAAAAATGCGTAGTCTGGTATATATACTAAGCATCTACATAATATATGATCTTGTATGATATTATATTTTGTGAATGATTTTTTAGGTTTCAAAAGAATGTGTGACTTTAATACTTAAATGCTTTTCCATAAGAATGTGTTTGACGAAAGAAATACCTCATAATCAAACTTAAAAGACTTTTGAACAGCACGACCTCTGCTATGTACAGTATCCTTCAAACGCGCCACTAAATCTTGTTAAATGACTTGAGAGTAATTCTCAATTTTCTTTTTTGTTTTATCTGATTTAGTAAAAAATCTCAGATCACTCGATCTTAGCATGCATTGGAAATATTTTTAAAATTTGGAGTACACCTAAAACATAAATCTTGACTCAGACCACTTGTCTAAGTTTATCTAAGTTTTCCGCGAACACTCAGTTTCATTATATATGTGAAGTTATAATGAAATGAAAATAATTCATGTACTTTGTTCAGTCTATTATCTAATTGGTCTGAATGATGGGTAGAAGTGAGTTAAACTTTCTCCGAGCCACGAGGCTCATAAGCCGGTGCCGGTTTCTTTGGTACTAAGCGGATGAGAGTCATTGACTCCCCTTGGACGGACACCAGTCTATCACAGGATAACCTGCAGTCGTTAGCCGATATACATTTAGCTACATGGAATGAGACAGTGCAGATAAAGTCCTTTGTCGAAGGAAACAACACACAACATCAAGTGCCCACAGCGGGGCTTGAACCACTGACTTTTGGATTACTGGCCAAACACCTACATGTATGACCGCTGGGCCATGTGCTCCTCTGGAAGCAGGTCCGTTGTCTGTTGTCGTTAACTTTTTACATGTACTCCTCCTGAACCACGTGACTAATTCCACCCCTACTTGACACAAGACTTCTCAGGCACGTAGTACTTTTTTTCGAAAGTCGGGGGAGGGATGAAAATTTGCCTTAAAAATCTTTGACAAGTAACACACAAAAAAAGAGGAAAATTGTCCAAACTCAAAAATCCTACTTCGTGGGGTTGGGTATAGCCTATAGGTTCCAACTTTTTACACAACCAAATTTTACCACATTACCTTGATTTGACTATACCACAACAAAAAGATTGTGTGGGAGTGGGTGGGGTTGAGGGCAAGCAGTTTTTGAATGAACAGTAAAAGGTTAGGTTATGTTTGGAAAAAGGGGACAGTCCCTCCCCACTAATATTACGTCCCTGCTTCTTTGGGTATCTGTGGAAAAGATGGACCGAAATCCTTTCCAAAGAGAGATAATTTATAAAAACCCTCTTCTGATATGTACAAGATTTATTATACATTGTAAAATGATAAAATTCATATATTACTATATTATAGGGAATAAATAAGCAAGCATCGCCATGCAGTAAAGATTTGAGATTTGTTAAAGACCACTTGGGCCAGGATAGGGCCATCTTGGAGGGCTAAGGGATATTCGTAGGAATAAAAACCCCTTGTACCGAGAAGAGTAAGGCTGTAAATGGTCATGTTTTGATGAATGCACTATATACATGTACATGTATCAATTTCCCAGAGAGATGGAGTTGGGGAGAGTCAGACTCAGATGAAAAATCACGGTGTATGCACGTGCCCCAATTTTAAAAGCTAAATATAAACAGGGGAAAGAAATCTGCTCATGAAGGAGAACATTTTCGAGAACTTTGTTTTGTAATTTTGACAAGAAACTTCTTACAAGGAACAAGGACAGAAGTACGCCTTTAACGTGCTAATGGGTGAACTATTTGTAAATCTGAGAACTTAGTAATTATATGGGCTAGAATATTCTATTTTCATAGAGACAAACAACCACACTTATAATGACAATGGTTGTTATAGCTTAATTGGTTTAGACATAAATTACTATTGATTTACTGTGCATTCCAGAGACATTGGATTCGTTCCCTGTAAGTGTTTGTACCCTGTTTAAATCTATGGTGATATCTGTGGTGTGTAAACTGCTTACCCCCGGGTAATCAATCAAAGAGGTTCAGCCACATTATCTAAAATTTCGAAGGGGGGGGGGGGTAAATAAGCCTGACACATTTATCCACAGATGTGCAGAAAAAATTCAAATATGCTCATTGCACACTCGCAAATTGTTGTTCTTTATACTAGTATGTTTAAGTACTACAAAACCAATTCACCTAAATGGTTCCAAAACCGTAAATGTTGGTCATTCTGAGATAAACTGGCTTCGGGTTTCTTCAAATGAAGGACCATGATTCTTCCAAACAAAAAAAAAATAATTTCATTTGTTTCATTTTGACGAATTATTTTGCACGTAATATATTAATACACAACTCATAAAGTAATGTTCGCCATTATAACAACTGAAAATCTTATCAACTAACCCTAAGTGCGAATGAGAGTAATGTTCACTCCTAGGAAATGTTATGACTCTGTAAATTTTCATTTCATTTGCAGTCTTCTTCTTTTAGGAAAATAATTAACAATAAAATAGTATTTTATAATTGAGTCTATCTCTATGTTTTTTTTCGTAGTGCTGCAGTGCATTACCGTAAATTAAAAAAATGGCTTTATATCATTAACCAAAGTTAAAAATATTGATAAGTAGGTCAAAATTCTAGGTCAAGGTGATGAAGTCAATAATGACATATTTTTGTCTAAAGTTGTAATGATTTATTTAGCAGCACAACAGAAACTCATCAACATAACGGGAACCGCAGGGGGACAGGTCACATTGCCGTGTTTGGTGAAAAATCTCGGACTTTACGATGAAGTAAGTTAACCATATGCCAGTAATAACCCTTAACATGTAAACGATTTTTCTTAGCTAACCTATCGACCAAATTTTAAACCACGCATATTCTGTATATTAAAAATTCAACGATAGTTAAGCATGCAATTCCAAGGCAAAATTCGTCAGAAATGAGAATGCTAAAAAAATCGCTCTAATCTAATGTTTGGCAAGTATGTATGCTTAAATCAAAATATACTGGTTTTGATTAGACGTCATTTTAAGTTTAAAGTTACAAACCAATTCTTGCGGTTTCCTCATCCTTTATTGTAAGCTCTTTTCGCCTTTGCCGTTTTTAGCTCACCTGAGCCGAAGGCTCAAGTGAGCTTTTCTGATCAAAATTGTCGAAGGCTTAAGTGAACTTTTCTGATCAAAATTGTCGTCGTTGTTCCCTGGCGGTAGGGCGCGGCCACAATAGAATATCAAACATATAGTAAAAGGCTTCTAAATCCATGATAAGTCAAAGAAATATTAAAACATCTTGAGTGAGTGTAGATTCAAGTGTGAATAAATCATGCCCCCTTGTATTTTTTTTTCAATACTAAACTGATTTCTGCTTTTTATCTAGCCAAATGGCAGGCCCGTAGAAAGGAAATTTAGCTGGGGGGGGGGGGGCATAGCCATACATTTTCAGTTGACAGTTGAGGGGACACTACCAAAAAGAGCTAGGTTCACTAATGCATAAAATGGCCCTGTAGATATACCAATTTATTGACTAATACCCCGTGCACCATTTTCAACATTAATATAGAGAAGAGACTTAGTGCTTTCAGTTTATATAACAGAATTTCCTATGAAGAGTCTACGGCAAGGAAAAACAGGTTGTGTGAAATTGCAATGTTATTAAATTTTGCAGAAAACATGTGTTTTTGAGAACCTTCAGCAAAGAATTAAAATATGAGCACACCCCTCGATCCCAAAATTAAATATGTTTTTATAATCTTCATTTACAGTTCTTTTATAATATATTTACACATTTTGTATCGGAGGTTGTGCTGTATACGAAATGTTGAAAAATTGCATCATATTTTGGCCATTTTTTGAAGAAATATTCAGGATATGTGAATAATGAAGTAATTCACGACGTCACAATGCATTGACTAGAAAGAAAATTACGTCATTTTCAGTAGATATTCATTCACCAAGTGCTCAGGTATTATTTATTGCCTTTTTGACTAAAAATATACAGTTTTGAATTTTCAGGAATTCAAAGGACCATAAAGGCTCTAAGTGGCTCTTGTTCTTTCCTGACAAGCAAAAAAAAGTTATCTACTACCAAAAATTCCTTGACAAGCAAAAAAATGTCATCAGACGTTTTTATTGAGGGGGCAAGGATATAGTATCTATGGTTACTATAGTAATCTATATATCGGCAAAATTATTGGGGGGCACGCCCCCCTGTGCCCCCCCCCCCGGTTCCTACGGCCATGGTGGGTTCAGGAGAGCGATGAGACCCATGAGTCTCTTGTTTGGAAGAAGGAGTCCAGATTTTCTCCTATACTGCACTGTATATACATGTTACATTAATTTAAGGTTATATGGCAAGGCCCCTATCAGGAGACGATATCTTTTGGAGATAGAATTATATCCAGCGACCAAAGCAGGTATCAATTAAAGCAGGAATACAGCGACGATAAGAGTCTGACCATATCAAATCTGAAATCCTCCGATCAAGCAGAGTATCGGTGCATGAAAGGGGCCACCCTAGTCCAAATCGTGTATCTATGGGTGAAAGGTATACATCTACAAACCTTCATTTTCTACTTTGATTATATACATTAACATTTGAAATAACGAAGAACAGTAATTATAATAACGAGGTTACATTTGCATTGATAGGCATAAAGTAAAAAAAGAAAAACTTTTCATGACAAACGAAAATTGATGCCAAAGTGCCAGAGTAAATCCGAGTAAATCATAACTTAAGTGTATATATACATGTATATAATGAAGGGAGGTAATAATCATATATATTTACATTTGCAAATGTTTTCTTTTATATAACACTATTAAAAGCAACACGTATCTATATCCGTATAAACACAGGTTCCTCGCGTCATAAACGTTCGACGTAATTTCTCAGTGACGTCATAAAGGGTCGACGCGCAATCAATGGATCAAATACGTGCCGTTGAGTTTGAAAAATAAAACATATCACGCGTTGAAGATTATAATCAGGAAAATATAAAATATGAATAAGTCATAAATGTAAATATAAGTAATAATGTATCATTTTTAAACATCTATCTGGATATAGATACGGGTTGGTACGAGATCAAACCATAAAGCCCTTCGGGCTTTATGGAATTTGATCTCGTGACCAACCCGTATTTATATCCCGATAGATGTTTAAAAATAATACATTATTTCTTAAATATTTGTTTTTTAAAAAATCTAGTTTGATTAAATGTTTACAGTAAAACTCGGTTATAGCGAAGTCCTTGGGACCTGTGAATTTACTTCGCTATATCCGTAATTCGTTGTATCCGTATAACGAATTTGCATAAGTATATATAACGAATTCGCAAATATACACGTTTCCTTCAAGTATTACTACCGAATATGTTAGGGAAGCAATTATTACAAAAGATACCTTGGATAACTAAGGTTTTATTATGAATTGAATTTTATATAGAAATCCTAAACGAAAATAATGTCAGTTCAATTTATCAAATTTTGAGGTCTTTGAAAATCCGTTATAATAGATGTAAATTTCATTATTTTTAACATCTACGGGATTCAAAATCAGTTCGCCGTTTCCGTTAATTCGTTATATCAGAGTTTGTTATAACCGTAAAATTTTACAAAGAATTGTTAAGAATTTTGCCGGGGACCCCGAAAAACTTTGCTATATCCGTGTTCGTACTAAACGAGTTTTACTGTACTTCGATGTATTGTAAGTGATATTCTGATGTATTATACTTTCATGTAAATTAGTTGAATCTGATTCGTTGAGAAACATTTGTTAAAAAACACTATTACCCGCTGAATAATGAAGCCACGCCCTCCGGCATAGCAACAGTCAACATTGCTTGACAACAGGCGATATTCCAAACAATATTGACTGCGCGGAATTTATGAGCGCAAGGTTCACTGTAATATGTATTTGTATAAAACATTCAGTATAATATAATAAATATTGTACTCGTATGTAGTTGTGTGTAACATTGAAAATTTTCACCCCTCGAAAACCATTCTCAACCTCGGCTGCGCCTCGGTTGACAATGGTTTTCTTGGGGTGAAAATTTTCAATGTTACACTCAACTACATGCAATATTTATATAATATAAACACCTTGCAGCGCCACCTCGAATCTTGGACCAGAACAAGACAATAGAAGCGTTTCTTGGGGACAAGGTCATGCTTCGTTGCCAAGTAACCGGCACTCCTCCTCCAACAGTGAAATGGTACAAAGAGATATTGGACAGCGGAACACGGATCCTTGAAGGTGGAAATTAATTGCATTGAAATACAGTATAGAAATATCAAATGTATTATTCTTTGTGAAATGAAGCCAAATTCGTAATCTTTTTTGTCTAGGAAAAGGGTAACAATCTTTCCTTAAGGATAAATAACACGAACATTTTTATCAGAAATCAGCAAAATTTCTCATAGATTAATATTCAAATAGGTAACCTGAATGATGTTTTCCAGGTAAAGTGAGAAAATTTTGTAAGATTTTGTCACAATGTCAAAAGTATGTGCAAAATTTTATATACAATATATTGAAAAGATACAAAGTCCTATATCTAAACATCAAAGAAAACTTACGATTTCTTTATATTTTAGGGATTGATTATTTATGCCATTTCCATTCAAAATCAGACAAAAAAATATTCATCAATCCATGCATCAAAAATGTGTTTGTGTTATGTATCCTTAAACCTAGTTAAAAATCACATGTTGCATTATTTTCTGTTCCTTATCAAATAAGAGACACGCTGGTCATTAATTGGTTTTAGGGCAAATTCTGATCTTATGTTGTAGATCTCGGAACAAAAGGAGCTCATTTCTCATTAAATGTGAAGCGTGATTCGGAAGGGACATACACGTGCCAGGCTGAAAATGGAATCTCACCTAAAGCACAAAGATATTTCCGCATTAATGTACAATGTATGGTTACTTTCTTTAAAAATTATTCATTTTCATTTAAATTGGTTTTAGAAATTTTTAGTAATAAATCATATATAGCATTATGCTCTCTCTATATATACATGCATGATTTTAACCACTTCGCAGCTAGCTGTCCTGGATAAAGTAGGGGATCTTACTGTGTAAAATGTTGAACATTTTCCACTGTTTTTCTAAAGCAGTTGAACAATTATCTAATGGATCAATGAGTGAAAACAAAAATTGAATTTCTGAAACCTCGCATACTTGGGTCTAGGGGCGTGACTAAATCCATCAAATTTGATAGGGGGGAAACCCTTCTTTACACTTGGAAATCAAGCAATGAGACAGTATGATAATAATGACAACGTGGACTTAGCAATAAAATTTCTGGTTGTAGTTCTCAGAGGCTAAGCATGTTTTGAAAATGTCTTGTATCTTTGCATTAATACAAACATGATCAGGTACATTAAATAGTAGAAAGAAATACTATGAACACTGGGTTTAGGTACCAGTTCTAAGGTGATTCGAAATAGTCATATATTAAAAGTGCAAAATTATGTTTGTGATTTTTTCCCCCTATCTTCCACAACATTTAAAAGTTTATTGATAATAACTGTTGATAAGGATGTACCAAGATCGTGAAATTTATAAACACGAGCCAGATTTCAGACCCTGGGAATGGGTTTTACAACTGTATTGGTCATGTATTGCAAATACGTTGTATCTTTGAACATTTTTTCACTCTAAAACATAAACCAGACGTGGGGTCAAATTTTCGTGGTTAAGATAAAATGTAAGGTTGTGAGGATTTGAATTCCTGGTCGAAGAAGTTGTAGTGTTGTCTTGGTATGAAATTTTAACATTTCGTGGTGGACATGAACTCGTGGGTCTCTTCAAACCTCGAAGACAACGCAATTTGACCCCCCCCCCCCCCCCACGAAAATTAGAGATTTCCCAGTACGTGACTCGTGAGCTCAGGCCTCTAGACTAGTTTAGTTGATCATTATTGAAAGTTCATTATTTCTTCGAAATTCTTCGTTTTGCCATCTACCTATCCTAGATTGCTTGTTTGCATTATTACTCATTATCATTGAGCAAAGCGCCCTCTACCAGATTTGTCACTTGTCAGGGTGAGAGGTTTATACCTTGAGGAAATGATAACGTGTGGAAAAAAATATCGAAAAAAATGTGTCCCCTGAATCTGGGTAAACAGATATATGTAGTGTACACGAACTCCCCTGTAAATGAAATAAGGTTCTTTGAGCCATAAGTCTGCCACAGCAATGATTCCAAATCACTTTGATAAAGGTAGCTGGAAATAAAAGAATGTAATTCTTATACGAAATACGACAACAGAAAAAAAATACATCGTTGAAAATCTTTTGTTAGGTTCTGATTTTAATGTGTAGCAAGGAGTTTGTGTTCATTTGAAAATATATGGATACTCAATAAGGAGCTGGAGATGGCCTTAAAAAGCCAATGAACAAAGAATTTTTGTCAAAAACCAAATTAATATATCCACTAAACTTTATAGAATATGCTGACAGTGCATGTATGTCTATATCAGAATGCAATGTCAAAATTTTGTTTACTTTGAAGAGTGTGTGTGGTTTTTTTTCTTTTCCCAGTAATGCCTGTAATCACAGCCCCCAGACATGTAGAAGGAGAGCGTGGACAACAAGCACAACTACAATGCACTGTTGAAGGATATCCGGTGGGAAAGGTAACATGGTGGCACAAAGGGAAACAACTGACGAAAGACTATCGTACCAGCTTCAAAGTTTTTAACTCTTCATCCCATATTGCCAGATATTTTCTAATTATCAGCGCTTTGGAGTCGTATGACTTTGGAGTGTATACTTGTAGAGCCAGTAATAATGCCGGGACAGCCACTGGCCAGATACAACTGATTGAGAAAAAAACAGGTAAAACACTACTGGAACATTTTGGCACTTAAACAAATGTGTTTATAAAGATATGTACTCTGCTGATATTAAAAAGATGCATGAGTTCCTGATTGACAATATCTGTTGGAATTCCCATGGATACCTATTGCGCACCGTTGTTAACAGACCTATTTTTGTATTCATATAAAGCAGAATTTATTCAAAATCTTATACATGAGAAAATGAAATCGCTTGCTGTGGCCTTTAACTCGACATTTAGATATATCGACGACATATTATCAATTAACAATAGTTATTTCCATTCATATGTCGACACGATATATCCCAGTGAGGCTGAAATAAAAGATACCACAGAGACTTACACATCTGTTTCATATTTGGATATTTTACTAGAAAAAGACGTTAATGGTGTTCTAACAACCAAACTTTATGATAAACGTGATGACTTTAACTTTTCAATCGTCAACTTCCCTTACTTATGCAATATACCCTTATCACCTGCATATGGGGTGTACATCTCTCAGTTGATTCGATACGCAAGAGCATGCTCTACGTTTGGACAATTTCTAAAACGAGGTAAGTTATTAACAAACAAGTTGATGAAACAAGAATATCAGCAGTCTCGTTTAAAGTCATCATTTCGTAAGTTCTATGGTCGATACAATGACCTATTCAGCAAATACAATCTATCATTAAGTCAAATGCTGACTGACTTTTTTCATACTAATTGTTAGGTCATTATTTACACACTGAATTGTCTACAGATTTTTCCGTTATTTCCCTATCATGACGAGGAGTACATGGGGGTGTGACAGGTCGGCAGGGGATGCTCACTCCTCCATGGCACCTGATCCCACCTCTGATGATTTTGGAGGTCCGTGTTTGCTCTGCTCCCGATTTGTATTGTTTTAATGGACTTTGAGCTTAAATACTTCTCTTTATCTCCATATTTCATTCTAAAATATGATATATATATATATATATATAGAAAGCACTACAAAAACCAACAACACTGTATATCCTAAGTGTCGGATCTACTAAATCGATACAAGGTCAAGGATGAAAATTTATATAAAGCACTAAAAATGACCAACGACACGAACAATAGAAATTGTCAAATTTTCGGGACGCCCTATCCCTTCCTCAGGACAAAGAAAAAAGTTAAGAAGTCATAAAAACAAAGGAAATAGAAAAACAAAAACGGCTAGCACTACTACTAAACTACCAAACACCAATTATGTACTATGTTACATGTTGAATTTGAATTTTATAATCAGTTGTAAAGAAATAAATCCGGACCGCTATGAAATACGTCCGGTCTCTCGGGTGTACTCTGGTGAAGTGCGATTTACATAATTGAACGAATTAATTATCGCTAATTAATTACGGCCAAGCAGTAAATCGTACACTGTCTTATTCTCTCAAAATAGCTTAACTTTACATAATAAAAAGAAACCAAAGAAAGATAATTTAGATGTATTATAAATGTATATATACTTTTCCTTGCTTTTTCTCTGAGCATCAGTCCAATTGGTCCAATTGGACCGATGCTCAGAGAAAAAGCAAGGAAAAGTTCTGGATGCACAGACTGAAGTCATTCCGCCCTAATGGTATCAACAAACTAAATGACTTCACCAGGATGAACGTGAACTAGACCTTATTCCTGATTGTAACAAACAAGTTTATTCTGTCTATATAGTGTTAACTTTACCGTTAATTCGCTTTATCAATTCTGGAACAACCCACGCATAGATTTTTTGCTTACATTTTTGTTTATTATTTCTTTTATCCGATAAACAGTCCTAAAACATTTCCAAATTACATTTATAATACATCTCAATTATCTTTCTTTGGTTTCTTTTTATTATGTAAAGTTAAGCTATTTTGAGAGAATAAGACAGTGTACGATTTACTGCTTGGCCGTAATTAATTAGCGATAATTAATTCGTTCAATTATGTAAATCGCACTTCACCAGAGTACACCCGATTCAATTCAATTCAGTTTATTCTCACATTGTATAAAACAACATAGAGAAAATAGAACAACGATATCAAACAAAATACATGATGCAAGAGTGTACAGTTTACATTAACCTGGAAGGGTAACTCTCTTATTAATTATATTGATAAATTTACAAAGGTTATTGATGACAGATACCTTTTTACATGAAAATAAATTTAAAAACTTAATTTTCTACAATCATTAAAAGCAGGACATGACATAATATAATGGTATTCGTCTCCAGGATCATTATTACATAAAGTACAAAATCTTTGATTTGAGGGTATATTGCTCCATCGGCCTGTCTCGATTGGTAATTTATGATTACTAGTTCTAAATCTTGCTATTGTAGTTATAATATTCATTGACACATTCATGTTTAAATAGTTTCTAGTTGTAAAAATACTATTAGTGAACAAATTGTAAATTTTGCCTTTACCAGATGTATTACAATCTGAATTCCAGTTTTGTTTAAATTGATCAATCAGCGTTTGCTTAATTACAATCAACAACCATTTTTCATTGTGAACATTCTGCGTCATCCAAACATAATTCAATCCACATTCTTGTAAAATACTTCGTATACATTCAATCCATTTAAAACTACAATTAACAGTGTTGTGCATTGATGAGCTGTATAAAAAATTATATAAAATATGACACAATTTTGTCTCTTTACATTTCAACAGTTTTACCCAGAATTTTATCATTCTCATTTTAATATTTATACTCAATGGATATCTGCCAAGCTCACCATAAACCATATAATTTGGAGTAGATGTCTTAAGCTGAAGTATAAGTTTACAAAATTTGAGTTGAAGTTTCTCAATAATGTTCACATTTTCAAATCCTCATATCTCACAACCATAAAGAAGAATAGGGATAACCATTTTATCAAACATATCAATTTGACAATCGATGGACAAATTCAATTCTCGTGATTTTTTAATTATGGCGTATATAACTCTGGTTGCTCTTTGTACAGTATATTTTCTTGTGCTATAAAAAGAACCAGTTCTTGAGAAAAACACTCCTAGATATTTAAATTCTTTTACAATTTCAATAACATTATTATTATAGGTAAATGCTACGTTGGATGGTTGTCTGCCCTTACCAAAAATTATGATTTTTGTTTTATCAATATTTACGTGTAATTTCCATTTTTCACAATATTTTTGAAAACAATTGAGTTGATATTGAAGATCATCCTTAGTTTCAGACATCAGTACAGTATCATCTGCATAGAGCATAATCATAATTCTTAAATATACATCTAACATTTGCTCAATTTCTTCAGACAGGCTGTTCAATCCAATCACATTTTCTTGTATTAAAAATTCTTCTAAATCATTAAGATACAATGCAAAGAGAAGAGGAGACAAATTTTCTCCCTGTCGGACTCCATTTCGGCAGGAAAAATATTCAGAAAAATCATTATTATAAAATATTCTAGATTTACAATCATTATACATATTAATAATAACTTTAAGACATTTCCCCGTAAGGTGGTATTTAACAAGCTTTTTCCACAACCCTATTCGCCATACTTTATCAAATGCAGCCTTGAAATCAATAAAGGCACAATATAATTTCTTTTTCTTTAGTAAAGTGAGTTCTATCAAAGAATGAAGTACGAACATATTATCAACAGTAGAATAATTTGCCCTAAAGCCGCTCTGGTTTTCCTTAATGAGGTCTACATTATCTGCATATGAGGTCAGTCTTCTACACAAAATAGATGTAAAAACTTTTCCAAGACAACTTAACAATGTTATAGGACGATAATTTTGCGGGTCGGTATAACTACCTTTTTTCTTATAGATTGGTTTTATATTTCCAACTAGCCACGCCTCGGGAACAATACCGGTATCAAATACTAGGTTAAACAATTTTACATAAAGTGACACCATGACATTAATAGATGACTTAATGTACTTATTTATAACAGTATCAGGCCCTGGCGATTTATTGTTCTTAATTGTCTTCACTACATTAAGAATTTCATCTGAGGTAATTGGGTCATTAATAAAAGAACTGTCTTCAAACGACTCAAGAATACGTTTATCAAGTTCGCTATCTGAACCCCCTGAGTCCTGTTCATTTTCATTAACATTCTTAAAATAGTTATAAAACTCTACAATATATATGTTGTGTTGCTCTTTAGGTCCTTTACCATTTACTATATTCCAGTATTCTTTTGGGTTTGAACTTCTTAACTTTTTAATATTACGTTGTAACTTAATTCTATAATCTTTACAAAAAATCAACATCGTCTTTTCTTATATTATCAGGGTCTAAAATTTTGTTGTGTATAATTTGCTCGATATTTAGTAGATCTGGTGTACTTATATTATTACAGAAATCATTCGATTTAGTGGAGTCCCACGACTTAATTCTTTCGTGTAAATTTCTTTGTGACATACCTTCTAATTCATTGTCACTACGTATAATACTTAGATGACATGCCAGGGGCATATGGATATCTGAGTACAAACAATTAAAATCTAATACTTCAAAGTGTCTAACAAATTGAAAAAAATCAGCATTGCATATGAAATAGTCAACAATACTTGACCTGGTGGTTGTAAAATTCCCCTTTTCTTCATCATTTGGTACTCTACCGTTCATTATATATAAGCTATTTGCCTTACAAAAATTCAGTAGCTGATATCCATAAGCATTCGTCTTACTATCACTACTTTTTCTGTTAATATTTACATTATATTTACCCAACTTGTTAACATCACTTAAATTATCACAATCTTCATTTAAGGATAATTCAAATTCAGACAATTCATTTTCTTCAAAATAATCTTTTTTTTTCAGACACCCTAGCATTAAAATCGCCTGTCAAGCAAACAAAATCAAAATGATTTATTAAGTTTAAATACTCTAGTTCTATTTCATCAAATGCCTCTGGTGAGCTATATAATGAACCTTGTGGGGGATATATACAATACCAAATAAAACATCACTATTACAATTAAACAGTTCACCCTTCACCTTTAACCAGTAAACAAATTTACAATCAGTTTCTATTGGTGTAATGAATTCCGATAAGGTTTTACGAAACCCGACAATTAATCCTCCCGATCGAACTCGTGCACATACGTTTCTATTTTTAGCGAACAATACGAAGTCTTTCAGCTCAACACTGTCAAGGTCATCTGTTTTGGTTTCAGTGAAGCACACAAGATCGTAATGGTTCACTAGTTCTATAAACTCAGGGTAATTTAGGCGTCTGTTAATACCGCAAACGTTAACAGAAAGTATTTTCAGCACGGTATCAAGATATTTTGTGTTGACATTTTCATTGAGTTGGTTGTTAAAGTTTTTAAGAGAGTCAGAGTCTGATGATTCACTTAGATATTCGGACGCGTTTCTTTGACACCCTCCATGGTTTTCCTATTTCCTACGTCCAGACTTTCTTCTCGATCCTCCTCGGCCTCCACCCCTGGGTCTCGGTGTGAACTCTGGAGCCGCTGCTGATAGACGCGAGTCTGTACGTCGTCGAGGCGGCAAATTTAAATCTGTGTTACCATGCTCTTCTTCCTCGTCTGATTCATCAAGTGTGAAAAGTTCCCCATCAATGTAAAGTTTATCATAAATGAGTTGTGCTCTCCTCTCTTGTTGCTTAGCTGATTTGAAATAAGGATAAAGTTTTTTTCTCTTTTCGTTGATTTCACGAGGAAATTGTTCACTAATTCCAAATTGTTTATTTTCTTCTCCTGCTAATTTATAGGCTGCCCTCCTTACCATTTCCTTTTCCTTAAACAGAACAAATTTTGCAACAATTGGTCTGGCTTTCTCAGGTATCTTCCTTCCCATCCGATGCACTCTATGAAATTCTACCTTTTGAATTATCTCTAGTTTTTCTTGCATAAATGCGTTTATCTTCTCTTCACAGTTTTCATCTTGAGATTCAGGAATTCCGTAGAAAATCAAGTTGTCTCTCATTGTTCGAGCTTGTAATTCAACATGGCGATTGTTAAGTTCCTTCACTTCAAGACTCAGATTTTCCAATTTTGCAGTTAAATTAGCATTTGATCTTTCAAGGATTTGAATGGATTGTAGCAACGAGAGACCGGACGTATTTCATAGCGGTCCGGATTTATTTCTTTACAACTGATTATAAAATTCAAATTCAACATGTAACATTGTAAATAAATAGTGTTTGGTAGTTTAGTAGTAGTGCTAGCCGTTTTTGTTTTTCTATTTCCTTTGTTTTTATGACTTCTTAACTTTTTTCTTTGTCCTGAGGAAGGGATAGGGCGTCCCGAAAATTTGACAATTTCTATTGTTCGTGTCGTTGGTCATTTTTAGTGCTTATATATATATATATATATATATATATATATATATATATATATATATATATATATATATATATATATATATATATATATATATATATATATATTACTAAATATCATGAATACCATGCTTTTAGATATCAGAGAGTCCAAGTGCGAGAAGATCTACAGTCCACAGTGTCACGGAGTCTTACAGACAAATTTTACTTTACTTCCAAACAGCCAAGGACACACAAAACAAGATAAAGCAGCTTTTGAGTTTAACAAATTGTATACCTTAATTAAGGTTCAATGCAGTAAATTCTTGTTGCCGTTTCTCTGTGGAACCTTTTTTCCGCCCTGTATCAATGATACCGTCTACCCCTTGTGTCCAGATCTTTGCGAAAAGTGGCGAGATGGATGTAGTGGCACCGTGAGCAACTTTGGCTTTTCTTGGCCATTTTCCTGTATAGAATTGTATCATCGACTGAATGGGAGTCAGGTGTGTCTGGGAACAAATGGTGTAGAGAAAATAGGTAAGATAGAACAGGAAAGCAAAAGATAACTGTACGGTTTCCTTCTTCTGTACTTTCTTGAATGTCCAGGATGGATGCTAATGAATTGTTTTGTGGATAAATTATTGCGTGGACCTTGAGGTCAAAAAATCTATTAGCAAGGTTAAATCGGATGCAATGGGGGAAAAGTCAGATTGCGCATGCACCAGAATGCTAGTCAAGTTCGCTCTTGGGACAATGCACCAAACCAAACCAATACTCACCCTCCGTTAAGATAACTCGCAGGGTTCGACACTAACGTTAGTCCGTTAGTCTCAGACTAATACATTTTCATTCGGACTAATAAAATCTGTGGCTAATTTGTCCGAACGGACCAATAAAAATTTCTGGAAAACAGATTGAATAAATTAACGATGTTCGATTCTCCACAACTTTTACTGGAAAACCCCGCATGTATTTTTAGCTTTCTAGCTTCTTGGCGGGTAGTTAAGTAATTCCGAGCCAACTTGGCGCTTTCTTTTAGGACTGATTGATATGAAACTAAATATTTTAGCGATCATGATTTAGTATAACACATGAAGGATGATATGTATAACGTTAAAGAAAACAGAACGAGATCGGGAATACGATCGCACTTCCTGATCGCGATATTTTAACAAATGCTTTGTTCATTTCAAAAAAAAGAAAAAATACATTGTTATGTTTATTTTAAATAAATCGTGATTAAACATTGACGTTTCTTTTCTTTTTTCTTTTTTTTTTTGACGGACTCGTAAAATCGCGTGCGGACTAGTAAAAGTATTGAGGCACTAGTCCGGCCGGACTAAAGCCTAAAAATGTAAGTGTCGAACCCTGGACTCGTCATATTCGTCGCCCTCATGGTGCAGTGGGTAGAGCATTTGCTCTAGAGTTGCGGAGTAAGGAGTTGGTCCTTACGTCGCGGGTTCGAATCCCACTGCGGGAAGTGGAGACTGGTCCTTCGGATAAGACCGTATAAAGCGAAGTCCCGTGTCGAAGTAGGTGCTGGCTCGAAAAAGATCCCTCACTTCTAAATGGCCCCGAGTGTCGAGTATAAGTCTAAAATTTGCAGCCCTCCAACGGCACAGACAACTCGCCCTAGCTGTTTTATGTGATATACAAGTCATTTAACTTGTAGGTATGTATAATACAAGCTCCAAATCTCCTCTTCTGCAGATGCATCTTAATTAGTAATTTGAAATATTTCTATTATAGTTATACATATGGTATCAAAATGGTAGAAATATCTATAATATCTAACAATTAAGATGTAGAATGTCTGTGGTACAAGTAACTTATAGAGGATGAAAAATGAAGTGGAGAGAGAGGACAGTTGTTTTAGGTTCTAGTTGTGCTGATTCTAAAAGATTTCCTATCTATTATGATACGTGTACGTGAGAGCCTTTTTTGACTCCGAGGTTAATTTTTAAGGCTGCATTACCGAAAGCTAAACCAACCGTGATCTGCTTTATCAGATATGTCGTATGAACAGTCCTGCAACTTTCTGTTGCTCTGACGATAACAAATTGTGAGCCAGAAGTCATTTGGACCCTTTAAGACCATTTGAAGTCTATGAAATTGTTTTATATCTAAGTTGATACACCATCAGAAATCATAATAAACCACTCGTGAAAATAAGCTTCAGAATTCCGAATGATTTTTTGATATGGTATTGATACAGATAGTCTGTGATATGTGATTTAAAATTGATGTAAATAATGTAAATACATTGGTGTAAATACTAAAACATATTTCTATTTTTGGAAACATTTTTAAAAATTCAGGAACATGACTGAATCTGCTAACTGAAACCCTTTTTAAGTTGTTAAGTTAAAATTCAATCTTGATGGTTCTTAGTGTAAGGGATGAGATGCATATTATATGCTTGCGAGATTTTTTGGCTCTGATGTGTTATTGATCAATGGACATATCCTGTTACGTTTATAACGAAATTCTTATATTTTCATTATTTTCAGCTCCCTTTATTAAAATTACAAAAGTTAGTGATAAAGAACAGTTGTTAGAAGGAGAGAAATTGACATTGCACTGCACGGTTATAGCTAACACTAATTACAGTATTACATGGTACAAAATCCGTAAACCGTCATTTATATCGAGACCAGAAAAATTTAAAGGTAAGTGTTACGATGTTACCATGCCACATTGTTTAATTACTTTCACTTTCAGTCCTAAACTACCAAAAATAATCACTTCAGTGTTTTTCTTGAAACATGTATCCGCAATACAAACGTTCATTCAAAAGTGTTTTTTATCGACTGTAGCAGCGGCAGATCTATTTGTGGTTGTAGCTCTGAAATATTTCATTCAAAATCATGATAAGTAAAGTCATAATAACAAAGAACATTTAGGTGATAAACTGCACATGGGGGAATGAGGCTATATCTGTTATTGTATTCTATAGAATGTTTTTTGATAGCATGCATAAATGTTATGAATAAAAAAAATGTTTTATAATATGTATTAATCATGAATATTTCTGCGTTTCTATTTTTTGTCTTTTCAAATCACATATACTGATTAATATATGATTTTACAAAGAGTTTTTACCATAAGTGCTTCCTAGAATGGGTGTGTGTAATGTATACAAGCAACTCAATACGAGTTTCCGAATTATTACAGTGCTTAAAAAAGATCTTGTACTAAAATTTGTTTTGAATTTGCTATGAATGCTAATGACACGACGAGTATTTTTTTTTTTTTTTTTTTTTTTTTTTTCCGAACTCTTCTTATTTATCATTTAATTGTTTAATATGATGTCCATCATCTGCAGAAATCAAATACATCATGATCAAGAAAAGTTTGCAGGCGATGTTATTTAATGCTTTGCATCAACATATTATCTTGTTATAATTTTTTTGTCTAAAGTCAACAAATTCTTATCGTTTTCAGTGGGAAGCGGGAAACATTATGTAATAGAGAACGTAGATCATGATGACGCTGGAATGTACATATGTGAGGCAGCCAATGGAAAGGGAGTGATGGATTCCAAAAATATAACAGTTGACGTTGAGTGTAAGAACTAGATTGTTTCGTAAGACAGAAGAGGGAGCAATTTTTTTTACAATGAATTAAACATTTTTTCATTTCATTCAATGAAAAGGTCTTTTCAGGTATTTAAAAATGATCACAGGCTGCAGAGGATTCTATTATGAGAAAAAGGATTGAATATCTGAAACTGAAAATACTTTTAAAATTGTATTTTTTAAAATTCATATCGGATGCCCTTTAATACCAGTAGGTACAATTATTGCAGGTTCAAAAACAGAAAAATAGGTCATAATAATAGGTCAACACTTGCCACTGGAGATTACACTAAAATCATGACATAAACACACATTGGTATGATCTTGATATTTGTACATTTCAGTTGCTCCAAAGGTCGTTGTCCAGGCAGAAGTGGCACTAATGACCGGTCTGGATATGGACCTGAAATGTGAAGTTTTAGGGAATCCACCACCAATTGTTACTTGGAGCAAGCAAGATAATATGTTCAAAACTGGACGAGAAACCCATAGTAAATACTCGAACACTTTTACCTTGAAAATAAGGAATATGAGTAAAAGTGACTTAGGAGACTATAACTGTTCTGCTGTGAATATTCTAGGCAGTGACTATGGATTAACAACGATCAAAGGTAATCATTTTTAGATATCGTTACTCTATAACATGTAGAACGAACTGAAATCCAATATGTTAAATCTTTTCAGCAAAGGGAGAAGTTGATCACAGTTTTTAGGCTCTTGTTCAGTTACCTTGCTTTTACGTTTTATGCACCCGAAGATCGGGGACATCATATTTTTTGTAATTTTCCCGTTTTTCCTCTGTATCTGCAACTTTTAAACTGTAGTAGGTACAAAGTTTACATATTCAACCATTGTCCTTTTAACTGTTAATTTATTCAAATCTTTCATATTCTTAAGAGTTATCTCTCTTTGTCGGCGTAATGTCATTTTTCTCACTATATCCTTTGTAACTCACTTCTTACTTTTTTTGTAATTTTAAAGCATGAGACGATTTGAGACAATTTCGTACCCATATAATAAATGTATACTCAATATTTAAAGTAGATCGAATGTTCTTTAGAATTTATTGAGAGTTGCTTTCACTCGAGTGAAGCCATCTTCAGACAAGTTACTTCAAATAAACAATTTTATGAATACGTACTTTTCTATTCTCTATTGAGAAGTTGATGGCTCGTTTTAATACTCCCCCTCAACTTCACTACGAGAGGCCTAATAAAAGCAGTTCAGAAATTGACTACATGAAGAACCAAAACCGGGTCCCACTTCGATCGATGTTTTAGGATTGATGCATTATCATAGACATATTTTGGATGCACAGATGTTGTTTTGCAATGGAAATGCGATTAAAAATACCGATTCTGCTGACTTAAAACACATTTATCACGGTAGAACACTTACTTGCGATATGTGTCGCCGGATTCGTTTATTCATTCAAAACTGCGTTTGAACCCGGTTGACCTCTAACAAAGTCTAAGACTATTCCTCCGGATAACTATTTAACACTGGAACATTTAATCCAATTTATCCGGAAAGAAAGTTTTAGACTTTGTTAGAGGTCAACCGGGTCCAAACGCAGTTTTGAATGAATAAACGAATCCGGCGACACAGATATCGCAAGTAAGTGTTCTACCGTGATAAATGTTTTTTAAGTCAGCAGAATCGGTATTTTTAATCGCATTTCCATTGCAAAACAACATCTGTGCATCCAAAATATGTCTATGATAATGCATCAATCCTAAAACATCGATCGAAGTGGAACCCGGTTTTGGTTCTTCATTTAGTCAATTTCTGAACTGCTTTTATTAGGCCTCTTGTAGAGAAGTTGAGGGGGAGTATTAAAACGAGCCATCAACTTCTCAATAGAGAATACGTACTTTTCCACAAAGTTACTTTAAATAAACAATGTAATAAATACGTACTTTTCCTCAAAGTTACTTTAAATAAACAATATGATGAATACGTACTTTTCCGCAAAGTTAATTTCAGTTAAATCAACAATGTAATGAATATACGTATTTTTCCGCAAAGTTACTTTAAATGAACAATGTAATGAATACGTACTTTTCCGCTAAATAAACAGTGTAATGAAGCGTACTTTGTATACGTACTTTTCCGCTATTTAAAGTTACTTTTTTAAAATAAAAATAAACAATGTAATGAATACGTACTTTTCCGCAAAAAAAGACACATCTTCGGCTTAAATTAGGCAAAACAAAGTGTAAACCCAGTATATCTATCAGAAAATGTTTAGTAGCGGTTTTTAGCCGCTTAGATAAAAGAATGATGAAATTTGTGGACATAAAACAAAAAATTCCTTTCGTTCAAATTGTCTTCAAATGGTTGGAAACAATATTTATTCCTTCTTAAATTCTATTTTTCTACATCAAACACAAAATTTCAAATAAACTTAATTGTAAATTTCAGAAATATCTAGTTAAATTGACAAATAAACGAAGAAAGTTTTAACAATACTTAACAATTAAAGGTCTAAAGACAATTCTATACTCAAGCAAATGCTAAAAAATTAAAATGTTGAAAAGATGGACGTAAGTTTATAGCCACATTTCCACTTGTGATGAAAAAAATCCAATTGATTTCACAAGTTGTACTCTTTGTGCGCAAAGTCAGTAAATTTGCTGGAAAGAAAAGTTGTCGTTATGTATAAATGTCATTGAACTGTAGATTATGGTATGCCAGAGACAACTCGAAATCCGGAGCCTGTTGTCATAGTTTCCACGACAACATTGAAGCAAACAACAAGATCATTAGAAGCACCCAACAAAGAAAGTAGTACATCTACATTTGCTGGAGGTATGTATTTTCTTTGTTATGTGGATCAAGAAACTTCTATTTTAAATCATGACTTCACGTTACCAGGCAAAATTAATCTTGCATTGAAATTATTTTTTTTCTATTTCAGAAAAGTCAGGAGAAAGCCAAGCTGTTTCAAATAGTTGCAATATTACATATTTATTGTTTTCATTATTGCTGACGCTATTAAGTATGTCAATATTACATAATTAGTACTATTCATTTTGCATATAAATTCCAGAAGTGCCATGTATTTAATATCCCAAAAATTAGCAAAAATAAATATCAAGCCATTGTCATCTCACATTATAAACAATAATTCGATATAAATACCATACCACAACCATTCCTACGTTAACAGTGAGAAATGTGGTGCTATTTTTTTTCGCCATTTGCTCGATGGAAAGCCAAAAAAATGCGAAAAAAGATATAACAAGATACATTTGTATATGATGGATTTTACTTCAGATTCCCATATATCCATGCGTGTGTGAAAGTGAGTGTGAGTGTGTGTGTTTGTTTATAAAGACCTTTCGCAGTAATTTGTATAATACATTTACATCATGCACCTACATGTATGTGCTTTGATGGATGAAATACTGTAATACATGTTATCCTAACACTATCATCAATTGATTTTAATTCAGCCCTATTTTATCATTTTGTGACATATAGAATTTTATAGAGAATTTTACAAAAGGTTATGAAATTATCAATGATGAAGTCTGGTTGATATCACTTTGAAAATAGATTATGTTGAATGCGATTAGGAAAGCAAATATAATTTTAGATTTATGATTCACGAAAACCTTTATTTATAGAATATATATGAAAAAAATGATATGTGTATATATGTGGTTTCATTGGCATGTGTAGATCATTCGCAGTATATTATATTGTCTTGTATTTTTAAAACTCTGAAACAAATAAATGTATATAATTCTGTGATGTTTTTTGTGAACTGTTCTAAATTTCTGTTATTGCAGTTTCGAGCTATTTTCTGTGATATATACATGTATATTTATATATACTAGATGAAATCCCGCGCGCAAGCACGGAGAATTGAATTTATACCACTACCGACAGAAAAGTTCCAATAATATATATGACAGCCTACAGGCTTATAGCAGCAAGAAATATTTTGTTCAAAATCCCGCATTTAGTTTTGGAGCAGAAGTAAATGTACGTCTCCACCCCCCGACCTTCTTTGTAAAAACTTGAAAAATAACAATTTCAGTAATTGACGTTTATTGTACTTCAGGTGCTCTTATTTCATCTCCGTTCAAGGATAAAAGCAGCGAATATGCACATTTTAATGATAAATTGAATTTTTCTTTTCTTTTGTTTTTTATTTGTAAACATTACCTTTTAACGCCCTATGAATAGACCGAGTATTTGATACAAAAGACTGTATTCAGAAAAAAAAAAACTGAAGTGTATTGATCAAAGCACAAAATTTTAACAGCTTTAATTGTATTTGAACAATACCTTATTCATTAATTTTCACTTTTCATGTAAGCAAGTTAGTACAAATTGTACTTTGGGTTCGTTGCCACGATTCTCTCAGTGAGGAATATACAAATTTTACCGATAAAATTACGAAAACCTACTGATAGTCTTTCGATATATAAATATATTCACAACTTATAATGTTATCAATGATATACAATTATTTCAATGACCATTCACACGGAAGCTTTTTTATGTTCATGCAGCTATAATCGCCTCGTTTTTCTTTTTAACATCGGACTCGATGCTATATGATGTTCTAGGAGTTTCTGTCAATATTAAGATCGCTGAATGACGAAAATAATTTGCACATTTCCCTTTTTAACTGGTTATCTCAACTTATTTCTTTTATATCATTTAAATCAAGTTTTGATTGAATAATTCAGATATGACGTTTTATGAAATAAATAAACGATTGCTTGTTGTCAGTTTCATTAAAAATTGGCCAGTAACTTAGATCCGCCAACCGGAACCGCCACCGTAATCACATGGTTGTTTATATAGAAAATCAAAGTAGACTTTTAATTTAATGTACGATACTTACTATGCGAGTGAAATCTAAGTATAATTAACGGACATCATCTTGTATCTAGTGTATATGTATTCATAGAGGAGTTAGTAACAACTCTGGTGCACCCGTTTCGGAGTTTATTTGCAAAATTTATATATATATATATATTATACCTCTGTGAATTTTTTCTACATAAAAGTATGACAAATAAATCTTCTATATTTTCTAAACAGTCCCTACCGTGGTATAGTTTTTGTTCTATTTGCCCATGGTGAAAGAGTCATCAAACTATTCATCGGAAGCATTCCATTTCCCTCGTTTTTCATCTCAAAACTATATGGGCTGTTGTATTGTGACGTATCTGGTTTGTGACGTAACAAAAGTAAAGTCGGCTTCGGTATGCCCTGTTCACACGGAGAGTTTAATTCGCAGTAAATTGATGCGAAGTAAAATGATGCTAATCAAACTAATGCGAATTAAATTGCGTTCACACGACAGCTAATGCGCAGTAAACTAATGCGAAATATAATTTTATTTCCACAACATGGCTATTCAGTGAGGCTATTATGACGTCATTTACAAATCACGTCATATTGTGCAGAGCAGATATACATTTAAGAAATAAACAACAATGTTAAAAAGTTCTTTGGGAAATGAACTTGGTTGGTCACGTGATCAAATCCTGTGAAGCCCGAAGGGCTTCTCAGAAGATTTGATCACGTACCAACCAAGTTCATTTCCCAGTGAATTTTTAACATTGTTGTTTATTACTTTTATTTACATTTGAGACGAATATTCTGAATAGAACTGCATTTATTACACGAACGGCCCGCCGTATTCCTATGTTGTGACGCGCAATGACCTAGAAGCTGTTTGGTCTTGAGAGTTCGCCTCGCTCCAACATTTGAATACTTACATTGATGTTCAGCAGTCCAGTTCAGGAAATATCTGTCAGAATGAAAAAACAATGATCGCTACTGAGAATAATCTTACTATTATTGTATGAGTTCTTTATATATGAAGTCAAAAGCGGTGCTATCGTCTTCAGTGTACATACCTTCAAAGGCATTTCGGGTTAAAAAGGTAAGTGTGATTTTAGGCTAATTAGAAACATTCTTCACACCGAAGAAAGATCTAAAGATCATTTGTTGAACGAAAAAAATATATGTTTCAATAATTTTATCTTTTTCATCGCTTTAACGGCTCGGAAGTTCCGAAACCAGTGTCACTGTGACAGAAATATGTAGACAAGATATTGTCTCGCTGTGTGATTCGGTCACGCCATGACCTCTGACCCCCTAATAAGTTCATACAGAATTGAACATATTTTCTCTTCAATAGGTTCATCTAAGAAAAATATTTGCAAATGTAAATAATTGACATTGTGCACCTTTTAGTGATTAAAATAATTTTCCCTTGTTTTCCACTCAAAAAAAGCACAAGTACCCAATGGATATTTGACCATCGACATGTGGCCTGTGACTTAATTCTGCCCTTACGCATGCGTCAAAATTTAATTCGCATTATCTTCGCTTAGCGTTCACACGGAGCTAATGCGAAGTAATTTAATGCGCAGTAAACTAATTCGAATTAAACTAATTCGCATTAAATTCTCCGTGTGAACGCGCATCAATATAAAATACATGGTTACTGTCTTGAAATATAAGCGATATTTGGGCGAGGGTAAGAAAACGTGATAGAGGGCGAGGCTTGCCGAGCCCTCTATCACGTTTTCGACCCGAGCCCAAATATCGCTTATATTTCAAGACAGTCTCCATGTATTTTGTTTATCCTGCAACACATTTTTACATGACCTCCAAAACGGGCTGTTTTCAACCGATTTAGGTACATCTCTGCAGTTGAAACTAAGACGCCATGGCGTAAACATTGCAATATTCATGACGTCACAATGCATTTAGAACGTTGGAATACATGCACGAGGCTTTATTAGGGCATTGACCGAATAAAGCTTTGGTTTATTAGGCTACCTTTATTAGGTCAATACAAGAGGTAGTTGCAGGATAAAATTTAATTCGCAGTAACTTACGTTTAATTCGAATTAAACTCTCCGTGTGAACAGGGCATTAAACACCTATTTACTGGCTATGAGGACAATAGCAAGTTTATCGTACCCCTCGACAGCAACTATTTCCCTGCTGTGCCTCGGGAAACAGTCGCTGTCTTGGGGGACGATAAACTTGCTGTTGTCCTCATAGCCAGTAAATAGGTCTATAATAAATTCAGGACAACCGGAATTGTTAGAATGACTTGCGCGTTCCTCCGATTGTTTATCTCTATATGATATATGATGTGTCTGACCTAATCTGCTATTCTGACACATGTTTGACACACTTAGATAGCAAATAATCTCAATTCATTCGAACAGATCGTGCATTCATTTATCTGACGTGTAAAAAAACCAAAAATATGCGAAGTAAACAGTGGTCCAATGATTTTCATTTATATCAATAAACCATACAGGTTGTATTACATATTTCTCAAAATCTGTTAGATTAATAGCCTAAGGGAAATTGCAGTGGAAGATCTTGCAGACCCGTAGCAACCCTTTTTCAGAGGAACGGGGGAGGGACAAAAACAATTAAGCCAAAAATGTAAACTGCCCAATATAATATAATATACAGTGTAATATAATATAATTTCATATAATATTGTGGTACCACAGCCCGACTCATCCGTGTACGACCTATCCAGAATAACATTGATCTCCTGACCTCCGTCTTACCAGACGTCTTCGACATAGCCTGTCATACAATTAGACATAATCTGGAGGGATTAGTCAAGTAATTCATCGACCATTACGACATTGGCGTCGCCGGTAGCTGTGGAATCTGCGAAATTACGCTTTTCTTGGTTACCAAATTGCAACAACGTAATTTCTTGTGAAATCACCGAGCATCTCACGAACCACGTGTTTGCTAGTGTTGATGTTTCACAAGGTGGTTCGTAACGAATAAATATAAGTGTATGCTTTTTATAACCATAGTTTTTTAGTATTAATTATTGTCAAAACATTAATAAATGTATTAATTTTCATATTCGACCATTAACTGCATCAACATTTCATTAGGAAAAAAAGTCACGTGACTTAAATTCCGTCGGTTTTGATATACGGCGCGCATTTCGTGTCATATAATTTTAATTGTTTCTCTAATTTGGCTTATTCCTTGAGTAATTTTTTTTTTGGTTGTTCTCTGGTTAATTGTTTCAAAAAAAAAAGAAAAGAAAAGTATCAGCTGTACTATCATTGAGATTGTAATTTCTGACAATATATCCCCATACATTGTGTAGGTATTGGGGGCCACTGGCTCTGCTTTTGCTCTAAGTTATCATTCTATTTCCTATCTTGTAAATATTTTGAAAAATAAAATATTTATCACTGATAATGGCTACAAGTAAACCAATCAATCTGTGCAACGCCTCGGAGATGGACTTGAAGTCATTGGAGGGCATTGGACAAGCTAAAGCCAAAAGAATTCTTCAACTGAGAGAAACAAAAGAAGAGTTTGACTTTAATGATGTTGCTGATGTGACCCAGATTGCACTCTCTCAATGGACAACATGGAGTGAGGCAGGTGTTGTTACCATCCAGAAGCTCCAGCCAGAGACTTCGGCAAATCAGCCTGAACACACAGCAGAGGATACAAGTGCTAAACAACTGCATCTCACTTTACTGGAGATGAACAAAAGCATTCAAATGCTACGTGATGAAGTCAACTCCTTAAGGTCACAAGTTGTCCTGAAGTCTGATGTCGATTCTATAGGCCAATTGTACAACACGCCACCTGTACTGACAAATGAAGTTGACGCAGAGAAAAGTATTGACAAGTCGCTGACTCTTACAGCTGACACAGTTCAAATCCCAGACAAGCCGTCAGAAAAAGGGAAGGAACAGAAGCTGATTATA